CCCCTCAGAAATGTTCGGGAATTTCTTCACCCCCTCAGAAATTATCGGGAATTTCTTGAGCCCCTCTGAAATTATCGGGAATTTCCTGACTCCCTCAGAAATTTTCAGGGATTTTCCTGACCCCCTCGGAAATTCTCGTCAACAGGTAGTGCCCCTTCAGAAATGTTCAGAATTTTGGCCGGCCCTTCAGAAATTAAAAAAAAAATTTTGATCCCTTCAGAAATTTTGGTTTTACAACACCCCTCGGAAATTTTCAACTTGGAACCCCCTCAGAAATTTCAGAATTTCAGAACCCTTCGGAAAATCTCGTCAACAGGGGGGTGTGGATATTAAATGGAATGGCCCAATTTCAACTGATGATTTTGCATTTTTAAGACGACGATCAAGGAAATTAAATTGTTGGAAAAACTTCACTAACATCTCAAGTATGGAAAGCATCTACATTACCAGAAATTTAATTGTGGATTGATTCAAAATTCAGGCGATAAAGTTACATAGCTAGGAGTTGGCTTTTGTGCTCTTCGAATATCAGTTTTCATTCGCAGAATACCAGAACTTGTTGGCCTCATGGGTGCCAAAATCGACATAAACGTAAACTGCTAACCAAGAGCTATAAAACAAATACCTTTTCAAAAAGATAAACTTTATTCAGTCAAAAGGATGAGGGTAAATAAACATGCTACTGTGTGATAGTGATTTCGAAGCAACTTTGTCACACATATTTTAAAAAGTGTGATAATGAATCAAATTTTACTTTTTGCAATCCCAAAAAGGTATGAAAATTATTTAAATATTTAAGGTTTCCGCGTTTATAAATTTTTCTTTTGAGAAAAGTAAAAATTTTCCTGATAAAAAAGCATAGTTTCTGCAGTAAACTGTTTTCTGATAGAGAGGATCCTGGGGGAGGGGGTGTAGAAGCGTGCGCGGATAGCAAATAACCTTGACGTTTCCTCCAAAAAATTAATACCAAATTTTGTTTTGCCTTTGTTTGATATGTAATTTAAACAAGTTTTTTTACATCTAAAAATTGCCCCTAGTGGTCAAAACTTGGATTATGTTCGCAGTATTGGCCATTTGCTTACTTTTGGGGATCAAAGTTTGAGGTCCAATTATTTTTAAAGTTTGCAAACTACCCAGCTAATTCTTGGCTGTTGTTTGCAGCCTTGTATGCTGATTAAAATTTAGTTTAGTCCACAATAGTAGATCCTTTCAATGAAGGGAAATTCAAAATAGTATATTTGATTACTTTTACAGCACAGTCATTACATAGGTAGGGTGCAATACCAGGCCAAATTGCAAAAAAATTTACCGATTCCTCCAAATTTAAAATATATTTTTTTGCTCCCAAGGCACATAGGAAACATAATTTGACAATATATTTTGTTGAAAAATTGCCCCTTTGGGTCTAATTTTGCTTTGAAATGCGTGTGTTTACTGCTCTTGTATGAAGCAAGAGTTTGAAAACATTCCGAAGTACTGTAAAATGTAATGAAATCGACAACTTGACCTTACCCTTGAGACCTTGTACTGCCTCAGCAGTGAAATGTTTTTTGACAACGATAATTTACCAGTGTTTCTTGAATATTTTCCTTGTTTAACTAGTAGAACCGAACGTGCAAGTGCATCAGAAGACTAAGCGAGAGTTTTGTGTAGAAATGCTCTGTTTACGGGAAGTTATTTTGCATTTGCAAGCGTCAACAAAACTGCCGCATCAAGTTCACAGTTTGATTATCATAGCGATAGATAAAAGCTTTGAAACTTCAACATTTTAAACCACCCCTATTTGTATAGAATATATGTTAGTTGTATTAACATTGAACTTCTTTCTGTTTGAACCCAAATTTGTACTTGTTTTGCGTTTGACAAGGCTGTCAAGCTCGCGACGATTGGCTTTTATACCTCAGTCAGGCTTGACTACAGATTTAGCGTGTCACAGTGTCTTCTTGTTTGTGTCAAGATTATAATATTCTATTGCTGTTCAAGCGAGATATTCTATACACTGGAAACGTAGAGTACATTTTACTTTGTCTTTGTCTCAAGCAAAAAAAGTATAAAGATTAAACAGGCATTCAAAAATATACAACAACCACAAACATCTCGTAATATTTCTTTGGGGAAATCTTCAAGTTTCAATGGAAATCTGGCGCATGCGCAACAAATTTCCCAGCTGTTTTGAAAAAGTTCATTACGGAAAGATATTTTTTATCACACTGTGGAAACACGAAACGCGCCAACAACGTTCATATTTATTTTATTTATAAACTTTGCCGCCAAAATTTATACAACGACAATGGCGCAGGTACATCAACACAGCGTCAGCCAATTACGTTGATGCCCTGGTTCTACAGACAATACTAACAATACATCCACTCGAACTCGAAACGTACACAACACATCTATTTACATATAATCACAGTTCAAAGTCCACATTAGCCATCAAGGCTAGTCCTAGAAACAACAGTTCTTGAACGTTTTTAATGATCTTGCTGGATGGCACTTGGGACATATTGTTTTCCATGACTTGGGGTGATCTTTGTCGAAGGTGGTCTTGGTGGCAGTAAGGTAATATTGGGAAAGGAGGGATTTAAATCGATGGTATGAAATCTCTGGTAGACGTAATTCATCGGGAAGAGTGTTCCATATCCGTGAAGCTCTAACAGCATAACTGTTCTGATAGCAGAGTGTCTTAGTTTTTGGTATATGATATGTCACGACGGTAGTATTTTGTGACCGTAGGTTCATCCTTATTTTGTTGTTTTGTTCTGGGAGGATATTGAGGTCAGATGAAATAAATCCATGTGTAAGTTTGAATAAAAGGAGAACGTCCATATATTCGTGCCAGTAGCTCAGTGGTAACAAGTTTAAGGCCAACAATCTTGATTTATAGCAAGTGTCAGTTTCAAAAGGTAAAGCCAAGATGAATTTAGTTGCCCTCCTTTGAACATTTTCCAATTCACCACACATGCTTACGGTTTGTGGGCTCCATACATGTGACGCATAGGCCATGTGAGATCGGACTAATGCCAGATATAAACTACGTCTAGTGCTTGCATCTCTAACATGAACTGTCGAACGTTTCAGCATGCCAAGCATACGGTTCGCTTTGGTAATCTTCTCGTGTATGTGGATAGTCCATGTAAGGTCAGAAGAAACTGTCACTCCAAGGTCTTTCTGACTGGGAATGTGCTGCAAAGCTCGGGCATCGATGACGTATTCAGCAACGATTGGGTAGCGTTTTCTGGTGATACTAAGGACTTTGCATTTCTCTGCATTGAAATTCAGTCGCCAACTATGCGCCCAGTTCTGCACATTTTTAAATTCCGTGTTTAGGTTTCTTGCATCGCTTAGGGACTCGATGGTTGAAAAGCATTTTGTGTCGTCAGCAAATAGAGAAACGTTCACAGGTGGTGAAGACACTGACGAAGGAAGATCACTGATGTAAATTAAGAATAACAATGGTCCAAGGATCGACCCTTGAGGGACACCAGACGTAACTGGGAGGGAATCTGATGTTGCACCGTGAACTAACACACGCTGTTGTCGCTCTGAAAGGTAGTTAGAAAACCAGTTTAAAACTTTGTCCGCGACACCGAAATGAAAGAGTTTCTACGACCTTTGGAATATCTATTAATAATCATGAATTTTTCTGTGTTGGTGTAATGTACTCAGGTGAATATGATGCTTGTGATGTTACTCTGAGTATATATCCACACCGGGCAAGCTTGAAAAATATGCCTGACCACGGTGGGAATCGAACCTATGACCTTTAGAATCAAAAGGTCGTAGGTTCCAAAGGTCGTAGGTTCGATTCCCATCGTGGTCAGGCATATTTTTCAAGCTTGCCCGGTGTGGATATACATCCTTACCGAATAATGACCCACTTATTCTAAATGAAATGCAAGATGATGAATATAGAGGCTTGCTCCAAATGCTTAATAGAAAACAAACAGAGTTTTTTAACCATGCTTTGCATCTTATTAAAACGTCTGATAAACCATTTTATGCATTCTTAAGTGGTGGTGGAGGTGTTGGTAAAATCTCACCATATTAAGTCAATTTATCAAGAAGCATTAAAATACTATAACACACAAGCTGGTGAAGATTTTCATCGTGTTCAGATAGTATGACTTGCTCCTACAAGGAAAGCATCTTATCTTATTAAAGGTAATACAATTCATAGTACCTTGGCAGTTCCAGAAAGCCAATCACTTAAAAATTATAAACCACTTGAGTCTGGTAGGTTAAACACTTTAAGATGCTCACTGGGTGCATTAAAGTTGATCTTACTTAATAAAATATCAATGGTTGGAAATGGTATGTTTACAGTTCAGTTGAAAAACCATTTAAAAGATTTGAAAGGAAGCAAAGAAGATTTTGGTGGCATTGGCATCATTACACTAGGAGACTTGCTTCAACTTAAACCTGTCATGGATGGCTACATTTTTACTGATATTCAGTGTTTAAGTTCTTATAATATTCTTGCTCCTAATTTATGAGATTATGTGACAAAGAGAGAGCAAAGAGTTTGCTGAGATCTTAAATAGATTAAGAGAAGGTAACCTCAAGAAACTGAAGGAAAGATCTGTTGAAGAATGTAGTTGTCCAGGAGAAGCTCCACATTTGTTTATTCAAAATGTTACGGTTAATGACTATAATGAAAAAGTATATCAATCATTTACTGGTAATAAATATGTAATTCAAGCACAGGATAGTGTATTTGGTTCATGTTCTGCTGAGCTTAAATAAAAAATAATGAGGCAAATACCTTATATCCCATTGAAAAACTCGAAACAGTTAGCTCGTAAACTAAAACTTGCTATAGGGCAAGGAACAGAAATGGCAGTAAATGCACGAACTGACTATGGTCTTACAAATGGTGCTAGTAATGTTCTGAAGTTAATTCATTTAAGAGATGAAAGCAAACCATCTGGTCTTGTTTGGGTCCAGTTTGACTATGAAGATGTTGGCAAAAAGACCAACAGGAAAACAGCTAGGAATCTTTACTCTATCTAGAGGTATTGGAAATACATGGACTCCAATTAAGCCAGTTACAACACAATTTGCTGTTGGTACACCAAAATCAGCTCAAATTGTAAGAAAACAATTTCCACTAAGGCCGGCTATAAAACTGTACATCGATCACAAGGTGATAGGGACTATTCTAAAAGGACTATTCCTCACATACATTATGTTGTTCTTAGTCGAGTTACAACTATTGAAGGGTTGTACATCACTGACCTGTGCAAAGATAAGATATCTGTTGATCAAAGAGTTGTAGAAGAAATGGAAATATTAAGAACAGAATGTAGTTTAAAACTTTGTTTCACACCATTGTATATGTTGGGACAATTTACAACGTACAATTCACCTTATATAATATGGAAGAATATACAGGGATGAACGAAGAATTGGTCTGAAAGATAAAGTTAATAGTTTGTGCAATAACATGGTAATTTGGCTGGATCCTTGTTGCTTTATAATTTACAAGAGAGGATGAAATTTAATTCGACAACATCACCAACATTTGGGAAAGAATGCATCATCATCCACTAATTTACGCCAATAAATGAACACATTAGGGAATTTTTTCTAAAGAAACTATACTTGTTATTTATTGAAATAATCTTCTTCAGCAGCAGTTTTTAATAAATCTCAAACTTTAATTTTATTTTCGGCTTATTTGATATCAGCTATTTTTTCTAATATAAATATCTCGGCGAGTATTTACCCCCCTTGTAAATAAAAGCCACCATTGAAATCCTAATAAAATAACCTTTCAAACGGGGGGTCAACGGAAAGTACATTTATTATGCCAAGAGGGGGGGGGATGAAGATGTTAAGGGGGCACCAAAATATTTTCTGGCATTAAAGGGGGCTCTGAAAGTTCTCGATATACTGAAGGCTCTAAACTTTTCAAAGTTCTGGCCCCAGCAAACTCAGGTAAAATTTGCATAATAAAGTAACTATTTTTGTGAAATTTAATTTCATAATTTCGTCACCTTTATATAGATATATACAAAAAAATGTATACTAGCAAACAAGCAACACTAACACAACATTCATGCAAGATAACACACTAAACATAGACGTGACTGGAGAAAAGAACAGGACTTGCGTCCCAATTGACACTTTACCCCTATCAAAACTAGTATATGATTAAACAAACAACTATATTATATAACATTAAATTTACTTAGATGCAGCCAGGAGGACTATATGATGGTAATTTAGCATTATAGAACTCACATAGCCTGGTTCTAAATATGGATATACTAGAGTTAATTACTAGAGATTTCAGTTCTGATGAAAGACTGTTCCACAGGTTGGCTGATCTTATAAAAAAAGAGTTTCTAAAGTAGTCCTGTTTGTGATTAATCAGGAAGTTGAAATTGTTTTCGTCGTAATTGCGTCGTGATTTATAGCCTGGTTCGAAGGTGCATAAATAGTTATTGACATCCATAGATATTAGTCTGGTTTTTGATTTGAAAACTAGCAACAGGTCGGAGATCTCTCGGCGGAATTCTAATGGAAGGAGGTTTGTTTTAATTAGCCTCTCTGTATAGGACATTTCGTTCGGGTAGTTCAGTATAAACTTCGTCGCTCGCCGCTGAATATTTTCAATTAATGATTTGTGTTTGATGGTATATGGCGACCAGACATTACTGGCATATTCCAGCTGGGGCCTAACCAGGGTGCAATACAGGAGTCTTCTTGTAGCGTAGTCACACATGTTCCTACATATCCTTTTAATGAGGCCAAGGGTCTTATTTGCTTTCGATGCAGTGACCTCGATATGCCTAGACCACGATAGATCAATGGATACGTTGACACCGAGATCCCTGATGTGCATAACTTTCTCGATCGGATGACCATTGAGATTGTACAGTGTTTTGTTTTCCAATTTCTTCTTCCTCGAGATGTGCAATGCCTTGCATTTGTTGGGGTTGAACTCCATTTTCATGTCAATACTCCATCTCTGAACGTTGTTAAGGTCGACTTGAAGTAAGCTGCTAGAGGTTGGATGTTCAAGAGTTCTGTATAGTTTGGAATCGTCGGCAAAGAGTGCAAGTCTGGAGCGTCATTGCAAAACACCAGAAATAGTAACGGACCAAGTATAGAACCTTGTGGCACACCAGACGTAACCGGAACACAACGTTCCAGGACCTTGGACAGCACGCAGAGAAGAGAAATTGGTCGGTAGTTGGATGACAGTGTTGGATCTTCTTTTTTAAAGATGGGGGTGATATTGGCGCGCTTCCATTGAGTGGGTACTAAGCCTAGCGAAAGAGACATGTTGAACAGCTTGGTCAATGAAGGGGCAATCTCATAAGCAAGTTCGATCAATAGTTTGCTTGGAATGTCATCAGGTCCGCATGCCTTTGTTGGGTCTAAGTGGAGAAGTACTTCAGCAACTTGAAACTCTGTCAGTTCAATGTCGGACAGTTGAGAAGATGAAAATGTGGGTATATTAGTTGGCGTGTGAGGGGATCTGTGTCCCGAGGGTTGAAGACGGAGTGGAAAAACTTGTTGAACATATTAGCCATGCAATGCTTGTCTGTTGTAAAGGAAACGTCATCCGAAGGAAGTGAGCATTTTGTCTCATTTTCGTTGACAATTTTACCGCAGACCAGAAGCGTTTGGGGTTCTCGAACAAGGACTCCATAAGTTTGTTGTTGTAATCTTTTCTTTTCCTTGATAAAAGCTGTTTTGTCTTACGTCATATCAATCTGTATTTTTCAACATCAACAGAAGACTGGGATTTTTTCAATTTTTTTCTTTGAATGTTTTTCTTTCTAATTAGTTGTAATAGTTCCTTGTCAATCCATGAGTGATTGAATGTATTGCTCACAGTATATCTCTGGATGTGATCATCAACAGCTGAGAGGAATAAGTCACACCAGTTGGAAAGTGAGACGTCGATGTTGTCTGGGACAAAACATTGGTCCCAATACGCATGTGTGAGCTGTTCTTTAAGACCTGTCCAGTTAGCCTTCTTAAAATTATACACGGTGCGCTTGGTTTTGGGTTTCTTCTGAATATTCAGGATGACGGTAAAACTGATAAGTTTGTGATCTGTTTTAAGAATGTCGTCAAACACTTGTACGTTATCAACTTTATCAGGAATATTGGTGAGGACAAGATCCAGTGTATTTTTAGCTCTTGTGGGGAAGTCTACTAGTTGCCACAGGTAGTTGTCTTTGACAGTTTTTGTAAAGTAATTGTGAATAGTATCATTGGTTGTAGGTGATCCGGTGGTCCAATCAATATGTGGAAGGTTAAAGTCCCCACAGATGATAAGCTGGTCAAATTTGTTGTTATTTTGGATAATCTGAAGTGATTTTTTGAATTCTTTGATGTAGTTCAAGTCAATGTCATGTGGTCTGTAAAATACAATTACCAGAAGCTTTTTTTTACTCTCTGGATGGATCTCACAAACCAGCATTTCCGTATTACTTTCGAGGTCTTCCCTTCGCACACTTAGGATAGTATTCTTGACTGCTAACAGAGTTCCTCCGCCAGTTCTATCAAGCCTGTCTCTACGATGGATGATGAAATCTTTTTCAGGCAAAAGTTCACAGTTTGCAATCTCAGGTTTAAGCCAAGTTTCTGTAATAGCAATCAGATCAATATCCATCACCAGTGTTTGAAGTTCACTCGTTTTGTTAGTTAAACTCCTTGCGTTAAGGTATAAACATTCTATGTTATGGGGCATAGCAACATTAGGAGGTCTAGGATAGGATGCAGTAGAACAAGGACAAGGACCAGGATTTAAAGCAACATCTCCTGATAACAAGATCCATAAGAGAAGGTGTAGATTATTATTATTAATTTGAAACTGTAGGCCATAACGATAATAACTGGACAATGAACATTTCCTTAAAATAGTATCCCACGTTGAAATCCAAATATAGCTTAATCGGCCAGATATTGATATAAGTTCCGGGGAAATAATGGAATTCTGCGGCGTAGATGAGTAGTTCTGAGGATCAAGTGCTGGTTTAGATCGTGAAAATAGCCAACACGTTACAGCAATAAGTAGCAGCCAATTAGAGATTGAAATGAACAAATGTCGACGGGATGTTTAATTCATTGTATTGACTTTTAAGGGAAAACCCCAGAATGAAACCAGAGAAGTTCGTCAAGTCAAAGATCAATAGTTTATAGCAGACAGTATATAACTACAAGATCGATAGCCAAAATGTAAAAAAAAACACGATCAGCTGCACCACAAAAAGCGATAATCAAATCAAAATGTTAAGAGTTAACAGACAAACACGATTCCAATGCTGAAATACGTCTTTAAACGAATGAAACTCGATTATAGGAATATAACGATGTTGCCATGATGAACGACGCAAGACGCAAATGATTTTAAATTTTCCAACGGTCAAAATTAAAAAAACGCGAATTATTTAAGTTATATTTAATATCATGAAAACACCAAGACTTGATACGATAGCAGGAACAAAGTACGTAGTACACAGGGAGAACTTGAGGCAAATGCAGTAAGTAAAAATCAAGATAATGACCAACAAACCAAATTCACAACTTGTAAATGATAGACACCACGACCCAACAGATGACCACGGTAATAAAATTTCAAATAAACACAACGAAAGATATATCCACAGAATCACAAGAACTTTATATTTAAAATGATACTAAATTAATAACTCCAAAGAGAAATGAGGTCGAACGAGATAAAATTTTATAGACACCGCTCCCTCACGGAACATCTATCCGCCCGGCAGTAATATGATAACCATTTTTGTAAAATACGGTCAATTTACATTAAATTTGTTTGCGAATTTGCTTTAGAAAACGCCAGAAATTCAGTCAGTCCTAGAGCTTCAAACGTGTAAAAATTTTCTGGGGGAGGACCCCTAAACCCACCTTTTCTCCCAAAGCTTAGTATGAGAGTGCCAATCAATCACAGAAAGCTTTATTATAATTATTACACGTATAATCTTCCAACATCCCCCCAAACGTCAGATGCTTTGCTACGTCCCTGATGGTTGTATTTGAAACCGATTTCAGTTTTAAGATATCTTTAGTCTGCTTTTCTACATGGACATGTGAAATCACCTATAGCTTATTTTAAATTTTTTGGCACCAGGTTTGTGAAGTAATTTACCCACCCAAAAAGTAGCAGTTCGAAAAACAAAAAAGCATACTATTTGTCAGAATGATATGTTCTATGTTCTATTTCGGATCGGATTGATAAAGTTGTTTTGTAGTCAGATCAGATCGGATCAGACTTAGATATTCAAAATAAAAGGAATTAATTATCCACATATTATTGCAAGAATGAATTATCCATGCATTTATCAAAGCATTATCATGGTTGTCGCTGCATTTTTCATTTGATACTTCAATTGGACGTCACTTTGTCAGCTTCTTGACATGTATTTCTTGTTTTTATATTTATTTGGTTAAACATTTCAACTTCAATGACAAATTTATTTTGTTAAAGGATTCTTCGGATCAGATTGAAATTCTTTATCACAACTCGGATCGGATTCGGTTTAGACAATTAAACTCGGATCAGACTTTAAACATTAGCCAATTGTAGGGTTATAAACGTCCAATCCGATCCGATGCACACATCTACTATCTGTGGTAATATTCAGTATTGTTTATTGTCATGAAATTGTGTTTACCCAGCCAATGATGTCAGATAATGTATTTTGTGGCATAAATTAGCATACACGCTTATTTTCAAAATGGTGGAGAACTGTTGAAATTTTTATCAAATTTTCTCAACAACTAATTCCGACAAACCAGCCAAAATATGAAATTAAATATTATGTGAGTATACCTAATAGATATAAGTAATAAAAATTTTGGTTGCCAATGTCCTTTAAATGACAGTATTAAACAATTCATACATTTTTCATTTTACAGACTTGGCGGCTTATGAATTATTAAGCACAAGGCTAAAGTAGGGTTGGGTGATATTAAAAAAATCAACTCACGATTATTGTCGAGGAAATTATCACGATATTCGATAATATCGTGATAAACGCCTAAAAACAATAATTTTCAATTTTAATTAATATCAAAGCATAGAAAGCTTATATATAATCTTATTAAAAACAAGTAAAACAACACATTAAAGTAATATGAAGGCTTTTCTAGTCTAATATTTACTGTTCATAAACCTGAACTGTCTATGTAGTGTCTACAGTGTCTCCGCAGACACAACTAAATGCCATGGGCACACAGGTTTATCTTCGCGTCGTCCATTACTTTGAGAGCGTCTTTAAGCTCTTTCGCAGCTCCTATTAGGTTGGTACCTCGGTCTGATCTTATTTCTCCCACGGGACCACGTCGAGCTATAAAACGTCTGAGTGTGTTCAGGAATGAGTCGGTTTCCAAGGAGTTGGCTGATTCTAGGTGAATTGCTCGACTGTTTAAGCAGATGAAGAGTACACCATAGCGTTTTAATTCTTTCCGACCATCCTTGATAAGACAGGGGCCAAGAAGATCAACTCCACAGTATGTATATGGTGCTGCAGAAGTAAGTCTGTCCTTGGGCAAATCAGCCATCTTCTCTTTGGCGGTTCTGGCGCGAAATTTTCTGCAATCTACGCATCTTGATATGTAATTTCTGACTCTGGAATTGGCGTTTATGATCCAATATCTGCCTCTTAAATGGTTGAGAGTAATTCCTCTTCTGCCGTGGGCAGCGTTCTCATGGTTGTGGCCAATAATCAGCTCTGTAACGTGACCATTTTTCGGCAATATGACGGGATGCTTCATTTCTGTCGTTATCTCGTCACACCTACGTAATCTTCCTCCAACACACAGTAGACCATCGGAGCCAAGGAAAGGGTCCAGGCGATACAATGAGCTTGACTTTCTGAGTTTGGTCGTTTTTTGCTTAGTAAGACTTCTATTGTTGACTTTGCTGCTATCTTCGACCCTTTTCAGCACACTAATTTCGTCAGGAAAGGATTCTGCTTGGACAATCTTCACAATTGTAACTTCTGCCTTTTCCAATTCTTCAACCATGATAGGTTTGAGGGTCTTATCTTGCGTGGAACTATCACCAAGATTCCGTCGGTTGCGATCTTGTCTTGGCTTCATGCGTAACAACCATGCTATAGCTTTCTTTAGTCGATACCATTGAGAGAAACGAGAGAAGTATTCCAGAATCTCATTGTGTTGACCAGATATGATGGTATTAGCAGATATTGCAGCGACTTCTGGATCGTCAAGTGTATTAATGCTTACATCAGCAGGTCGTTTAGGCCATTCATCTGTTGCTTTCCACAGGAATGATGGTCCGTTAATCCACCGCTTGTTCTCAAGAAAGCGTGACATCTTTAAACCACGAGACGCATCATCAGCAGGATTCAAGGCTGAGTCAACGTAATGCCATTCATGAGGTGCAGTTGTGTCTCTAATCGTTTGGACTCGGTTTGCTACGAAAGTCTTGTACCTGGCTTTATCATTGGTAAAGTACTTCAGGAGTGTGGTACTATCGGTCCAGTAGAATCGATCATCTGGTGAAACATCAAGCTCTTTTACAAGCTCTTTTACAAGCATATTCGATACACATACTGATAATTCAGCAGCGGTCAACTCGAGGCGGGGAATAGTCATTTGCTTGACTGGTGAACAACGACCTTTGCCAATAAGGAAAGCACAATGAATCTGTCCAAGGTCATTTTCTTGTCTTAAGTACGACACCTGCCCGTATCCTGCAGAACTTGCGTCAGAGAAGCTGTGTATCTGCTGAGAAACTACTGTCCCAAATCAGGTGGCGTTCGCATAACGACCGCAAAGCAGTGTGGGAGAAAATTCAAATTTAGTTCATTTGCATGTAGTCTCGCCTGGGTAAACATCTGTCGTTTAAAAAATTAAATTAAAATATTAAATTAATGGGCATAACTGGGTTATTGCCTTTCTTAAGAGGCTTTCAAAAGCAAGTTAAGCTCTCCGATTTTACTGGCAGAACTGTGGCCATAGACGCTTCTTGCTGGATACACAAGGCTTTAGCTGTGTCCATATCACAAAGTGGAAATCGACAAAGGTGAGATATCTTTTGTGTGCTGTTTTAGAATGTATTATAAAAGTACAGTTCAAATATGTAAATATGACGGGTTTTTTCATTTTAGGTTGGCTGATATTTTTCGTAAGTATTTGTTGATTGTAAAGAGAGCCGCGATGACAATTTACGTTGTGTTTGATGGGCTGTTATTGCCAGCGAAAGCAAGTGAAGTCGAACAGAGGCAAAGGTGAGAATATGTGACTTGTTGACTGTTGTTGTATTTAAAACAGAAAAATGTTTATTTGCACCGTGACTGGATTGGCCAATACTTTTGTTAACAGTGACCGAGAGGAGCGTTTACGGAAGGCAGATAATGCAAGCCTATCGTCGAAAGAAGCCAACAAATTCCGCAGCCAAGCTGCTTCCATAACCTTCAATGACATATCTACCTGTATAGATGTAAGTCACATTTAAATATTTTTTACTTAGTCTATTAAAATTGTGGTGTTTTGTTGGTACTAAACACTTATATATGCATTAAGATTGTTATTTGTTAGCGATTTAATTTAAAAATTATTTTGAACACAAATATACAATAGATTTGTTTGGAGGAGAACGTTCGGTACGTGATGTCACCGTACGAGGCAGATGCTCAGATAACGTTCTTGCCAAATAATGGCTACGCAGATATGGTTATTACAGAAGATTCGGACCTTTTAGCCTATGGCTGCAAGGAGGTTTGTACAGTTCATTTCTTTGTGATCTCCCTGGGGCAAACAGTTGTTGATTAGGTATTTAGATTAATACATGAATTTGATATTTCCATCAAAATTTTTTGGTAAAAAATTTTCTTGCCAGGGGCTCATGTATTGCACATATCAATGTAAATCCCAGGGCATGGGATGGGGATTTGCCTTGAACACCTATTACGGCCATGGGAACTGTGAAAATCAATACAAGCCTGGGGTTAAATAGTTGGTGAAAATATACTGTAAGCTGTTGTTAAACCCATTGATTGGCAGCCCTCTCCCCCTGACAAGTAAAATGAATTTGTCTGGTGTTAGATAGAGTAAAATAATAAAGTAGGGTGAATCTAGGTGCATTGCCACTTAACAGGTTAACAGGGTGCATTGGTGGACTTGAATAACTTAGATTCTGCACTTCACTTGGTGGAATTAATATTAGAATGTTAGGGTTTGTAACCAAGTGAGAATGTATAAATTTTAAGACCTAACCAGGAACGACTGCGAATAATGCAGCACAACCATTAATATTAACATTAACATAACCATTAACATTAGCAGCACTCTCCCCCTGACAAGTAAAGTCATCTGGCATTAGAAAGGTTAGGGTAAAATAACAAACTACCTAGGGTGCATTTGGGTACATTGCCACTTAAATGGTTAGTATATAAATATGTAACCTAATTTGTCTCTGGGTGGGCCTTTATAATACATTGGATTAATGTTTGCCTTTCTACTCATAGGAATTATACCCAAAAGTTTTTTTTATCAAATCTCCAACCCAGTCCTGATTTAATATAGTAGATATGTGTTAGAGGTGTGCATTGGATCGGATTTGATGTTTATAAAACCGACAATTGGCTAATGTTTAAGATCCAATCCGAAATTGTCTAATCCAATCCGAGTTTTGATAAAGAATTGAAGTATCAAAGAATAATAATGCAGCGACAACCACTTTGTCATGAATAATTAATTCATTTTATTTCCAATCCAACTACAAAACAACTTTATCAATCCAATATGAATATTTTTGTTCCAAAATCCGAACAAATCCGGATTTGGATCGGATTTGCACACCTCTAATGGGTGTACAAACTGCCCTTAAATTTTCTGTTTGCAATAATATTTTGAATATTTTAAAGAACTGTTGTCCAAATGTTTTCAAAGATGTTTAAATGTTGTAAGCAAACTTTTTTATTTAATTAATTTACTTGCTTGTCTAGGTGATAATGAAGCTGTGTTTGAGTGGTGACGGGCAACATTTGTTATTAGATGACATACTGGATGGGTTAAAACTAAATTTCCAGCAGTTTCAAAACATGTGTATTGTGGCTGGATGTGATTACCTACACAATGTTCGAGGCATTGGTATCCGTGGTGCATACAAAATCATTAGTTCTGGTGATGATATGTTTAGTACACTTGAAAACAAAGGAGCACCCAATAATTACAAGGACCACTTTCATGAAACAAAGGCTGTATTTTCGCATCAAACTGTTTTTGATGTAAACACCCTTAAAACTGTGCCTCTACATATGTGGGAGAGCAACACATCAACAAAAACAAAACACCTTTGTGGAAAGTATCCTTTATACACTTTAGCATGTTATGTTTGCCCATGTGGCTGCAGAATGGGAGTATTAGAGGTTGGTCAAGTTAGGGGGTCAAGTTATCAAACTATGATAACATTGTATGTGTTTACATACAATGTTATCATAGATGCTTTTCTTTTGACTGCAAAAAATTAAGTAAATTTAAATCAGTTTTAGAGACCATTACAGGGTGGCTAAATGATTGCTCAAAAGATAGAAGCAACCTTTCTTAATCGAGTTCTACTTTTGTGGAATTTTATTTAGAGCTTGTTAAGTGTACACCACAACCTTAACTCTTCTAAGATTGTTAGATGACCAATTCTCTAATGATCTGGCTGCCGGGAACATTGATCCCAAAAGTTGCATCAAGATGAAGAGCAATCCTCTTCTTAAAAGGGTAAAGTTTTGTAAATATTGTGTTCCCATATTTACATAATACTCTAATGATTAAAATGCACAATTGTATAGGTCACCTGCAATTCTACACCAAATGACTCTGTTGAGGATATGTCTCCAAAAACAAATGGTAAGATTGTAAAGATTGATTTCTTTAACATTTTGGATCATACAGTGTCCTTTGATTTGAATGTAAATAAAAATCCTACCTATTAGATGGCAAGATCAGCACAACAGGGCTCTTCAACAGGAT